TAATCTGTCTTCCCAAATAAACAGAAATATGTTATGATTGCCAAAGAGTCACCGTCTCTAGGCAAAAAAAGCTTATAAAAAGTGAATAACACTGGGAAGGATTAGACTTTGTATACATTGATCATAGTTTTCCACAGTATTCAACTTCTGAAGTTTGTATAAATGATAACCTTGTAGCAGCAGTTCTAATAAACTCCTTTAAGAAATATTTTTGAAAAGGTCTACTGGCTGGCAAAATCTGACATGTTCTTGAAAAGACTGTTTTTTCTTAATTCAGGCTGCAAATTAGAAGGTGGTTTCTATCCACCAAATGAATGACATTCTAGAACAGCTGCCAAGAAGAGTAGTAGATGCAAGCTGACACCTAAATAGTTTTCATATACAACTTGTGATAGCTGAGACTATGTGGCTTCGTTACCTGAAATAGCACAGATAGGACCTGATGACCTAGGAGGTCCCTTTTAGCTTTACACATATTAGGAAAACCAGATCCATCCTTTTTTATTAGAATGATTTTGTGGTATCCAGACAAAGACAGGAAGACAGACAGGGATGGAAGGTAAGGAAATGACCCCATTAAAAGTGGGGAAACAACCAAAAAATTTCAAGTTGATGAAATAAGGGGCTCCTGGCACTATCTAGTGCTTTACCCATTTACACTTGTACTTATAGTATGACTTAGTTTGTCCACCAATGGTGTTTATTATGTTGTTTCATTACTTTCCTTTACACATTTTGGGAAAAGCATCATACAAAAATGCTTTTTTCTTTTGAAAATAAAGAAGTAATGCTAGAAGACAACATTCTTCCTGCTTCAGCACAGCCCTCTGGGAAACTGGTAATACAATCATTCTTTTATACGCTTAGATTTCATGAACAGTTACAGGGGATTTTTTTCTGCATTTGGTAACAATAGAAAGTTCCTGGCATGAGAAACATGCATATAGTCTCTGAGAGCAAATGAAAATGTGATGAGGATTTGATTAATTTAACCTCCTGATCCATATGATTCCAGAAGGAAATATTAGAAATAACAGGAACATTGCTTTAATCAGATGGATTAGTTTGACTTGACATTTTTGAATAATTCCATTTGGACTCTGGTGTATATAAGCTAGTCTCCTTTCACTTAATTCAGATTGAATGATCAAAGACATGGTATTAATATTGATGACTGCATTTTTTTTCTGGCCTGCACCTTTGTACTAGCAAGGACAGGTACCTCTCCAATCCAGCTTTTTAAAAAGAAAGTTGTTCTTAATATTGATAATGAAATTAGGAATAATAGAAATTATTGCAGATAACTATTATGTGTATTTGATTGCTGTGTGATTGATCCTGTCTGGTTGGGAAAGAATGATATTTAAGTGTACATTTACTTTACAAACAAAGATAGTAAAAATGAGAGCATAACCTTAGGAGATGCATATAATAATGAAACATTTTCAACAACTTGACTGGATACACTTTACAAAATCACATATGTATCTCTCATTCAAAAGTTATGAAACAGATTCACCCCAGGTGTAAATGAGAACATTTTTGTTGACTTTATTGGAATTGCTTCCTCTTATACCTCTGGCTCATAAATGACTCTGTCTTTAGTAATCTAATCTAGAACACAAAAGAACCCAGAGCTAGACACCCCTCTTGTCTGCC